AATTTTTACAAATTTATTTTGTAATGGTGGGTCACATTGCTTATGATTTATGGCATCGTTTATTCCTTTATGTCTTCTTCATTTTCTGATCTGTCTGCTTTTTTCCAATGGTACCCTGGGAGCCTTACGGCCTCGAGGTGTATCATTACCAAGTATGTTTTGTTTACATTTCTATTTCTTTTTTTCTCTCTCTTTTTCTGAAAGCATGCCATATTTTATTTTTCCCTCTTAAACTACTTTATACTGTGTGTAATTTAAGGAAAATATAAAAATAGATGAGGACGAAACTTTTATTTAATAACAGGGTGGAAGTTTAATTTAAATTATTCTTGTTCTTTGCATGAATTGATTTTATTTCGTGTAATTAAATCCCCCCCTCCCCAAATGAGAATTCAAATTGAACCTTTCTTTGGTATGAATGAATGAAAGCATCACATTATGATATATTTGTTAAACTTGACTATATAATAGAAATACAGTTGATCAAATTCAGTTATACTTTAATATGAAATCAGTTTGTGTATTGTACTTATTCTGTGGGCTAATCTTTGGAATATGATAACAGGTAGTTTAACCATTCTGTGTACTGCATACATTATCAAACTAAATATATATTTCAGTAATATGTAGATATATTTTTCTGTTATTAATAAATACCTGTTAACTTGAGATGATATGAAGGTAACTGGATTTACAACTAGCTCTTGCAGAATGAAGATAAAATATTCACATAGTTAAAAGATTTATCTAAGCTATTATGTATCCATAGATAACATATAAGATATAGCTTTTTAGTGCAAGCATTTTTTTTCCCTTGCAAGTTTACTTGATAGCCAAGTTTTTTGCTATAATTAAATACTGTAAAATAACCTTTAGTTTTCATTCATGTTTTGAAAAGATTTTGCTGATTCATTGGAAATTAATCTATTATTCAAAAAATACATAATTTTAAAATATCAATAATTTAATTATGTTTTTAAAAACTCAAAAGAGAAAGCATTTTTAGATTAGTACGGTTAGTTATCTTTAAAGTAGATAGTTTTGATAATCCTTTGCACTCTGATTTGTAGAATTAAAATAGCTTTACTGTATTTTTATATCTGTAATCGGAGCATTTTTAGAAAGAGAATAATTATGTAAAATGTGTTGTCTCTGAAATATCCCTGTTTTCTGCAATGTAATATCACTCATTATTGTTGCAAACATTGGTGTGAAATCACTAAAATGGTGATAATATAATAATAATCTATAAAAATGGCAACTTTGGCCTTTAGGATCCCCATAGATCAGAGCTTGCAGAATAGAAGCAAATGGTTAATAGCCACTTGGTATAAAATTGGTATAAAATGGGATTTTATATTTTAAAATATGTTACTGAATAATTGCCCATTTTAAACCTTAATTCTAGGAAATATTCTGTATTACTTGAAATATTTAATTATGAAACAGAAAAATGTTTGAATACTTTAGATCAACGTTTTTCGAACTATGGTACTTGTACCACTAATGGTACATTGCATTATTTTTGTGGTATTAAAAGATTTAAAGGCATGTAAGATGGTGTCCCTTTTAACATCTTACCTGTATTTTAATCTTTATTATTCAGCTACATATATATTTTTTCCCTCTTTAAACTGGTGCCTATCGCAGTAGCCACACTGGCCATATTCTAGTTACTAGTTTATGATGATATTTTTTTATTCTTATTTATGCGGTACACAATTTTTAAAGTTTGAGAACCCTTGCCCTTGATGAGTCATGCTATTCATCTAATACTTGATTTAATGTAACATGGACATATATAATAGGTTATTTATAATATATTAAGACATATTATTTTGTAATGTGTGCATCAAATAGAAAACTGTTATTATAAAAAGATAAACAAAACAAAATTTTAAATGGTAATATTTTATCTGTTTCTCCCAATTCAAACATAGCTACAGAACTGGATAATAAAACTGAAATGCTTGATGAATATAGCATTCCAAATTTCAAGCCACCACACGCAGTTATAGTTGGGAACCCTGAATGATGTTTGAATTTTAATAACAATAGCAAAGTGAAAATTTAAAATTTTTTTGGTGGTGTAGGTTCTGACTTCAAATACAGGGAATAATAAGTGATGAATGAGATATATCAGAGTTCTAAAGAAGATACATTATTCAGAATAATCTGATGTATTCATTACCAAGACAGCAGATCTGTAGTTTCATCTAAAAATGATAAAAACTTCATCCAATCAGAATAATTGCCAAGATTAAGATAAAAGGAAGTTATACAAAAAGAATGTCAGAATATTGAAAACAACTGTGTCTAAAAACATAAAACAAATTACAGTTGAACTATTCTAGCAAAATTGCCTGTCTGGGATTTCGGCTAGTTAATACTGAAAGTTGGGCAATGCAGCAAACTGTTTGGGAATCAGTGCCCGTGCTGAACGCTGGTTTCTGTGATATCAGGAACATATCCAAATATATCTCAAAGGAGATGCCTTGTATCAAGTTAATAATAGACAATTTCATACCATAAAAGTAGTAAAAGAGTGGCTATAACGGTATGAAAGTGAATATTAAGTTCTGAATAATTCCACAATTGCAATGCCATTGAATCGGTAAGGTCTACCGGAGGAGTAAGTGGAAAAATAGTTTTCATCTCCAGAATCATGAAGCAAAATAGTTTCTCTTTTGTTAGAAGAATAACTAAAAATATCTTTAATGAACAAATATACAAGATTTGTATCAATAATTTCTAAGGAAAACTGCTATTGATCTCCAGAAATGGGTCCACACCATTATTTATAATGTTACACTCCAGGTGCAGGTATTGTGCAATCATTATGTAGTAATTAATTTACACATGTGCTGGTTACCTGTAGAAGTTAAGAAATGGATATCATAACATTATGGAGATGTAGATTTATATTATTGTTGGAGCTCTTTTGAAAGCTTTGTGCTCAGATATGTGCCGGCCTGTTCATTTGAAATCAATAAAACCTTCATGTAGTTATTAATATTAGAATTTTAAAATGTCAGTACTATAAACCTTTGAATCAGTAATACTGATAAGCAGTATAAATTGCAAAACAGCATTGCCATTTAAATTAGATTTGTATCCTTTAATATTAGAAGAAGATTGAAACTAAACAGTGTGTGTAAACTTTATGCAGGAAAGGTATTCTATAATCCTGCTCATCACTTTCGATGTTTAGATGGATCTAGTTCATTTCCATTCCATTATGTCAATGATGACTTCTGTGACTGTGAGGATGGATCTGATGAGCCAGGTTTGTAATTATGAATTTTCAGTATTTTTCTCATTGCATCTAACCTTGTATATTTTTAATTTTAAAATTTTTCTATTTTTAGGAACATCTGCTTGTGCAAATGGTATTTTCAATTGCTTAAACCACGGACACATACCTATCAGCTTGCCTTCATCTCGTGTCAATGATGGAATATGTGGTAATTTTTTATTTAATACAGTCAAAAGTCTTTAATCCGGAAGGATCTATAATCCGGACCTCAAAGCTACAAACTTTCTGCGCATGCGTAAATGCATAATGTGTTTACGCATGCATGTTTAATGTATAATGGACGGTATAAGCTAAGCTAAAATTATCTATTTCAGTTAATGTTGCAGATTCCGTTGTGTTGTTCCTTAATCTTATAATTGGATCTGGCTTATTATTTTTTGCAGACTGTTAGAGCAATTTTATAAAAGTAAACTTGAACTTTCGATTATGTCAAAAAGAATTTCCGATTCTGGAGCGGCCAAAGGATCTAAAAGCGAAAGCATGTTTCGATGTCCATCAAACAAAAAGTGGAATTGCTGCAAAAAAATGGATAAAGGCATATCCTTTGTTTCTATAACCATTCCGAAATCTGTTTATCAATTTCATGCTGCTCTGCGAGGGTGGGGAAACATCTCGGTGCGCAATGAACTGGAAGTTGATCTGTCAGCACTATCCTTATCTTCAGGGCAGATGTTTTTATTTTATTCGGCTTATAATTCCTTACTAAATGTAGTATTTCATCTCTATGTACTCCGTATTTGATATGATTTAAATCAAATTCCTCGTCATTATAAATATCATGAATACACATCAAATAGTTTTCTGGTTGCAATTTTCTAATTTCGACTATGCGTAATGTATGCTTTACGCATGAGCGCATTGAAAGAAATGTTTAATAAAGTAAACAAATAAATATTAAGCTTTTTTTTTGTAAATTTTCATACTCTTTAGATCATCATTGCTCTTTATTTCATAAATTATGGTTTCATATTTTTAATTTTATAATTTCTGCATGCCATCTTACCAGATTTAAATTGATGATCTATAATCCGGAAAAAACCGATAATCTGGAATTGCCGAAGTCCCGACGAATCCGGATTAACCTTTTTGCGACGGCGCACTTTTTCATTTTTCACACTTTCATTGACCATACGAGGGTATTCTTCCTCTGATAAATAGCGCCTTCCCACCATAATAGACTGGAGGTGAGGCTTTCCGAAATAAAAAGAGAAGAAACTGAAATATATCTGAAAGCAATGCAAAACGTAATAATACTCCACATACTAACCCTAAAAGACCGTACATAGTAAAGGAAAGAAATAGAGTAAAAAAAGGAATTGGATATAAATCAGACATGCAAATGTTTTCATTAGCACGTAGCAATTTAAAGAGCTCACCTCCGTTTACGCTTTCCCTTCCCCCCCCCTCCCAGCCTCGCAAGAGCTGATGAGTAAAATACCAAAGTCTTTGTAAGAATATATCAAACTCAAGGTCAAGAACCTAAAACTGCATTCATTTCAAAAGTAATGGACATAGGATGCCATCTAGTGGCCTTCAGAAATACGTTCCAGCTTAAAATGCTTATACAAATCACCTGTCCGCTGAATGCAATCTCTAGCAATGCATGAATGGGACGCCCGGCTGTAAGAGACGTTCTTAAGGAATGCGTATATGGGACCATTGTCTTGAAAGGTTTAAAGACTTTTGACTGTATAATAAATTCAATTTCTCTTCCTGAAGTGATCAATGTGTAGGTTTGGCAAAATATGATAGCTGAGTGCAAATCTTGGTCAGTTCATGATCTATACATAAATCTGGTGTTTGATCCATTAAACAGGCTTAAAATGATTTCAGGATAATAAAGGAATGTAAAAAATTGTCAAATGTAGCAGCTTTGTTAAACTAAGAAACTAGAGCACCATATAGGATAAGCAGGAAATTTCTACATCTGAAAAGCTTTATCTATGATGATTGGTTTTGTAGTTCTCAAAAGATTCCTGTTTCCAGGTCCACTTAGAAAGAGGAGACCTTAGAAAAGTCAGATATAAGATTTTAAAGTTAGACTAGACTGAAGGGTGCCCCTTGTATTATCGCGAAGTTGTTGTTTCATTTATCGCCAAGTTATTGTTTCATTTATGGTAACCTGAGTAGTTGAATGTTCTGTAAATATACTTTGACCTAGAATTGGGTGCTGCTTTGACTTTTTAAGTGAAATATATCGATATGTACATGGACAAAATCAAGGGAGTGCACAATGCCAAGTTTGTGCAATTCCCTGATTTTTTTTAAAGTGTAAATATATCATTGTGTACATGGATTCCAAGTTTGTGCAATTCTTTGACTTATTTTGTTTTAAATCACGGCTACACAAAGACAAAACAACAATCATAGAATTGTACAAACTTTTAAATATTCAGTATCCATGTACCGCCAATTTTCGCCAAAGGGTACCCGTAAATGTATTTTTACCGATTTTTAATATCAGAATATATTACTGGTCCATCATTTGAATGAATATGCACTCTAGAAGGAAAAACTTATTATCCAGGTAGATAATATCAGTTATGTATTGCTATAGAAGAATACTGTTAGCTTATTTCTTTGCATTTAAATCAAGCTTTTGTCCTCTTTGACAAACAAATTTGAATCACATTTTTAAAACACTCTTTTCACTTAATGGTTTCCATGTGCTGCAAAATAGGAAAGTGTTAGTAATTAATGAAGCCAGAGATCTTTCATAAATCTTTAATACTTTAAAATTCTTAGTCAAAACAAAATGATTTATGTAGTTCTAATAAATCTTTTTTTTCTGAAAATAAACTAAAATTCCTATTGGTGGTGTATCTATTCATTCTCCATGTGAGGAATTTTTGCTTTCCTCACAGTATGCATTCACAGTTCTATTTCTTTCTATTTGCTTTTTGATATACATTTGGATAGCTTTCTATATCTGATTTTGGCTGATCTGTGGAATATGGTAACAGGTAGTTTGGCGACATTTTGGAGGCGATAAAGGTTACTACCTAAGACTTTGGTAATAATGTGAGAAGTACTCAGTTCCGATTACGCATTATTTTGTGTGAGGGAAATGAGAGATCATGAGATATGTCATGTGACATTAATGGACGAATTACAGTTCTTTAATCGGAAAAGGGGGTAAATTTGGAAAAATTATTTTGTATTAAACTTCATTATGTGTTGTGTGAAATAGTGTTGATTAATTTTCAGATTGCATGGCGCTATGTAAAGTGAATTTTAAATTTTTAATGCATTTATCTGATAATAATAAATAAGTTGAGATTGTGTGAAAGGAAGGATATTACAGATAAGTTTGAATGGCGGTGCAAGAAATCTGGTGAAAATGGACATTTTGTGGAACAGAGTGTAAGGAAGGGTACATGGTTTGCTGAAAGTAGTTTGAGTATGGGTGAAATTTTATTAATTTCTTATTACTTGGTGAATAGACTGCCAGTTGACTACTGGATTTCGGATTTAGAAATTAGCAGTAGTACTCTCCAGCCGAGTGGAACTCTTTCTGTAGGGAAGTGTGCGTTCCATGTAATGAAGATCTGAAGAGATTAGGTAAATTAGTTATTTTTAATCATTTTGAGGATATTATTTTTATTTTTTATGCATTGTTCTAAATGTAAGGAGTAAATAAATTAATATCATATTATTGGAAAATTGTTATTCGCAATGATTTAGTTTAAGTATTAGGATTGTAATCTAATTTTTATTAATTTAATTTATGTGCTTATTTATATTTTAGTAGTGTTTTTTAATTTAATTATATTTTAATTTAAATGATCGTGATTTGTGAGTATATGTTTGTAGCATTTGGAATACGTTTGAGTAGTATACGTTGAGTATTTTCATGCATTTTCGTGAAATTTTTCTAATTTATGAGAAAAATGCAGTGTACATGGGTATAGTGAAGAGTGTGCGCAATGCCATTTTTGTACAATTCCGGGATATTTTTTTAAGTAAAAATAAGTCGACATGTACATGGCTTAGTTATATTTTAATTAAATGATAGTTATTTTGTGAATTTTATGTTTGTAGCAATGTGGTGTACGTTTCAGTTGAAGTAAACGTGCATGGAAATTATTTAAATATTTGATACTAAGTATTTGTAATTATTTTTAATGTTTGTGTATAAATTCGTTGGTGACGTTTATAATACTATAATAGATAATTTAGAGGTAAAAGCTTTTGGATATTTTATTTATTTTATACGTGGGAATGTTCATCCTTGGAAAGGGTATATACTTTTTCGTGATCAGGTAATTTCATATACAGTCAAAAGTCGTTAATCCGGACTCGTCGGGACTTCGGCGATTCCGGATTATAGATCATCGGTTTAAATCTGGTAAGATGGCATGCAGAAATTATAAAATTAAAAATATGAAACCGTAATTTATGAAATAAAGAACAGTTATAATCTAAAGGGTATCAAAATTTACAAAAAAAAAAAAAAAAAAAAAAGCTTAATATTTATTTGTTTACTTTATTAAACATTTCTTTTAATGTAAGTTGTTTCGTTTTTTATGTGATAATACATTTTCTTTAATTCTATAAACAGACATAATTTCTTGTTCAGTTACAGAGTTCCGCTGTTCAAGTCCTATAATTGCTGTGTCGAGAATACCGACTAATTTGTCAATCTAAATTTTTTCGTTTTCAATAACCTGTGTCACTTTCTTCGCTATCGGAAGCGAATTATAATGACGAGGAATTTGATTTAAATCATATCAAAGATGGAGTACATCGAGATGAAATACTACATGTAGTAAGGAATTATAAGCCAAATAAAATAAAAACATCTGCCTTGAAGATAAGTATAGTGCTGACAGATCAACTTCCAATTCATTACGCGCCCGCCGCGGCGTTAAGATAAACAAAGTTTACATAAACAAACGTTAAAGTTTAGATAAACAAAGGATATGCCTTTATCCATTTTTTGTATGAATTCCACTTTTTGTTTAATGGACTTCGAAGGACACTTTCGCTTTTAAGATCCTTAGTAAATATATATCAGAAATTCTATTTGACATAATCAAAAGTTCAAGCTTACTTTTATAAAATTGCTCTAACAGTCTGCAAAAAATAAAAGCCGAATCCAATTTGAAGATTAAGGAACAGCGCAATCTGCAACATTAACTGAATTAGATAATTTTAGCTTAGCTTATACCGTCCGTTATACATTAAACGCGCATTTGTAAACATTTTTTTGCGCACGCGCACCCAGATATACGCAGCCGTAAAGGTCTTACGCGCATGCGTCAACATGACGCATGCACAGAATGTTTGTAGGTTTGAGGTCCGGATTATGGGTGTCCGAATTAACGACTTTTGACTGTATGTGCTTTTTACCGAGTTTAAAGATAAAGAAAATTTTCCTGCATTTTCGTGCAAATTTTTGTAATTTATGAGAAAATAGCAGTGTAGATGGATAAAGTGAAGAGTGTGTGCAATGCCATTTTTGTGCAATTCTGGGATGTTTTTTTAAGTAAAAATAAGTCGACGTGTAAATGGTTTATGTGTATGTGCTATTGGTTTATGTGTTTGCTAATGGTTTATGTGTATGTCCTTGAAAAACGCGCAAGGAGTTTGCGATTGTGCACTTTTTCCCAATTTTGCAGTTAATATTTGTCATGATTAAGCAGTTTTGTTACATAAAATTCCTAGCATAAGTGTAATTCGGCTAGTAGATTGTTGGAAAAAGTGTTGAGTAAATAAAAAGAAAAGAAACATGTCTTTACTTCGTGGCCAAATTTTCGCCAAAAAATCGCCAAGTTACCATAATCCAAAGATCAACCCTGATTTTTATTCTTGAGGAAGAAGTGTTTTTCTAATTCATTATAAATGATAATATATTCTTTTAAAAATACAGTTATAATTGCAGTCAAGCAAGATAAACAAAGAATAAAATTACCTCACTTGCATTACAATAATTGCATATTAGAAGTAGAAGAAAAGAAAAAGGGAACTACCCATTTATATTCTTCAATAATATGTATGAGCTGTGGTCCCATTTGGTCAAAAAAGTTTTTGAATTCTACAGTATCTAGATATGTTCATCAGCCCTCATGAGATATAAATTTAATTTTAATACATTCATGACTGGAAGTTGTTAGATGTACTTTAGTTAAGCTAAAATTTCTGTTTTTATCTGGTATAGTTTCTGTTGTAGTGTCACTTAACGTATTCAGATGCATTGTTTGAAGATGCACTAGGCACTTTCAAAATTCTTCAGTCCATTATGAGAGAGAAAGTAATGTCATATTATTGAAATATTGAAAATCGGATTTAAAATTGAAAGCAAATATGATTCCGTTCATAAAAAATGGCATGAATAATTTCATGTCTCATATTTAATATTTGATCACCTAAGAGATAATTCATTATGCTTCATGAGGTGTAAATAATATTGCATCTGCAAAAGTGAAAAGCCATCACTAGCATTCAGTGCCTAAAATGTGAATCTAAATCCCACATCATTGGAATCCACTTTGTCTAAATCTTCCACATCACTGGAATCCACCTTGTCTAAATCTTGTGCTACTTGAAGAGTTTATAGATAAACTAAGCATTTGCTTAGATATCCATTCCTTTTATTCAGCATTATCAAAATTATTATTGGCCATTGCGTGAAGTATGTTTTTGTGTGATTTTCCGTTGTCAACTGCATAGAAATATTTAAGAATTTCTAACACTGAACTTCCCTGATAAATTTCTAACATGTATTTCTATTATACTAACTTTAAGTCTTTTTCTGTAGATTGCTGCGACTCAAGTGATGAATACGACAGTCCTGCTGACTGTTTCAACAATTGCAAGTGAGTATACCACTACCCTCAGATGTGGCAATTTCCTATTTAGCCTCTTTGCTTCTGGCATAGGGAGAATAAAGTTTCCTGTGGGACTGTGACCTTAAAATGCTGAATTTCTGTGTGTGTTTGAAAGCATTTTGCATTTAAGCGTAGTTTTCAAGAATAATTCCTATAAAATTTACTTTTTATTGAAATATTAAAATTCTTGCATGTTATTCAAGTTATTTTTTTAAATATTAAGAAAAGATCCTAATATTTACAATTAAGAATTTTATTGCTTTGAATATGAAATATAATTTGCCTCTCACCCCATACTATCGATTGCAGTCTGATCCATTGATTATATGGCAGAGTGGTTATGTGATATTAGGTGGCAGAAAAATTGCTTTTAACTTTATAAACACTAATATCAAGTGCAGTATTAATAACAACGATTATATTTATATGTTTAATTATTTCTGTTTAGTAATGAAATAGCAAAATTAAGAATTCAAGTATCAACATCTGTTATAGTCTGTTGCCACATTTATATAGTCCCTTTCACTGTGTGAACCTTTTTAAATTCTAAAAAATACACGATAAACATTTCTTGTTTTACAATCTTGGAATAAAATGGGATATAAACTCATAACAATAAAGCTGACATACCAGACATTCCATTTAATTAAGTTTCACAGCATTCTAATATCTTTTATGCACTTTTAAAATATCAGATAAAAATGTTCTGTTTCAGCATATTGAATATAATATTTTGGGCCCATGGAGGGAAATTTAAGCAAACACTGAGAACAAAGAGGGCCCACAAGTGGCCAAATTGTAGAGTCGCTGAACATTGATAGTTTGGTTCGGGGTTCAAATCCCAGTGAACAGGGTGGCTGCTTGGGCATTTTCATGCCTATATACTATATTATATATACTCATATCTATGCTTGTGTAGCATAGATATGAGCCAGTTTCCCTTAAAAATTCCTCCATGAAAGCATCCCTCCCCTTAGACAGATAGCCCTAATGGTGCTTTGCCATAATTAAATAAACTAAACTAATGAGAATAAAAAGATGAAATTAACATATGTTATCTATTAAATATCCATTCTTTTGTCATTTAGAAACCTCAGTGTATATCTAGATAAAAGTAAAATTTCTGTTGAAAATTTTGTTGCAAAAATAAAATTTGTTGAAAAAAATAAAATTAATCAAAATTCATCCTTAGATTGCACCAATATGTATCTAAAAATCTTAAAGCTGATGTAACCTTATTTTTTATTATATTATGATACTGTGCCTTATTTTAGTTATTGCAAGAAATAAAAACAGATATGAAGATTTTTTCCCTTTGTGAAAAGAGTTGGTAATTATCAGCAATTGTTTATTTAGAACTTTTTTTTTTTTTTTTTTTTTTTTTTTTTTTTTTTTTTTTTTTTTTTTAGACTGAAAGTGGGGAATCTGGTCTCAAAAACAAGTAGTAGTAGTGATATACAACTGCACACATTATACAGTAGAGGACTGAATAAATTAAAATGTATTGACCAAAAATCTGCACAACCTCTCAGATATCTACAGCAAAATATGGATGTCTTTAGGTATTTTTCACAAGTTTTCTTCATTGATGATACTTTACATTAATACTTCATTAAGTATTAATGTAAAGTATCATCAAGATCTCACCTATATACTTTGTAGCAGTCGCAGAGCTTCAAACAAAGACATGAAAGTCTGTGCATTTGTCCATCATGCTACCTACCCATACCATCAAACTTTATCTACATACTGGCCCCTTTTCAGATGCTAGGTAATAGGTATCTGGTTTCTCTCTTAATAAAAGTATATTCAGAATCATTAGTAAGGCAAAATTCAGACTCATCTGTGAGGACAATAGTGTCCCTGTGATGCTTGGTCCAAAGTTGATGTTCCCTACATCCTACAAAATTAGCTGTCTTATGCACAGAACTGAATAAGGTACAAACATGTCTTGGAACCGTATGTTCATATTTTCAGGAATGCAGTAGGCTCATTTTGGGAAGAGCAATGCTCATCCATGTAAGGGTAATCTAGTGAAAGATTATATGGAACGTTAGGATATTAACTGGATTCCTTGATCAGCCAGTTATATAGATTTATGTAAATATTGCCAGGTGTAAATCTGAACTGGTTTTCATTAGCAAGTCCTCCACAAAAAAATCCCTTTCTACAGGCAAACAACTCTTATTGTTTTCTGTCTCATTCAATTAAACAATAATTGAAAAATGAATGTAAGGATTAATCTGCTTTAGGGAAAGGATGTATTTGAAGAAAATATTCTGGAAAGCATGTATTTGAAGAAAATATTCTAAGATTCTAAGAGAAACTGATTAATTTTAAAAGTTTCTGCATGCACCATTTTTTTTTTTTTTTTTTTTTGCATATTTAATTAAAATTGCTGAAAAATATACAGAGGCTGTTTGCACATTTTTCAGATGACTTTGCATTACTATTAAAAAAAAACCACCTGCTTGAAAATTTTTTTAGTTATTAAAAAATGCTTTGAAAACCACGATTTTTATGTATGTAAAGCATTGATAAATATTATGCATATGAAAGCAAAGAAACACCAAAATTTGGCTTCAAGGAGGAAAGTTGTTCAAATTACATATCCAAGAAAAAAACGGAATGTTTCAAATGTTGCAATGGTAAGAACTTTAATGTTAAAAGACTGTCTGCCAAGTCAAAGGACAGTTGCATAATCATTAAAATGCTCAGTGTCAACTGAAATTAAAGTGATTAATGCTGATTTGAATCTTAAAAATGTGAAAAAAATGTAATGTGCATCGTCTTTCCCCACAACATATCGCCGAAAGCAGAACACACTGCAGAAATCTCTGTAAGAAACAATTATTCGGATAAAAATGGAAAAAACTTGTCACAATAGATGAATATTGAATATATTTAAATGACTGCACAGAAAAATAGGAGATCCATGTATTATCATCAAAGAAAAGGAAAAATTCTTAGAACGTTGTTCAAAGAATATAAAAGTTTCTTAAAGGGATTTATGATTGTTCCTGGTTTTTGATATAATAACAAATAAAAATTAAAAAGAGGGCAGGGAACTGTTAAGGTCAGCTCCAAACATTATCAGAAACATATTTCTACCCAGTTTTCAAATATGAAATGCCTTTCCTTTACGCACTGTGCCATCTATCATTAAAACTGCATTAAGACAGAGGAAGGCGCCGCACAAAATCCAGTGTAAATTTGCTGGAAAAAAATTTAACAAGAAATATGTATCAAAGCCATATCCTTCACTAGTATCCCTACTAAATCTCTGATTCAGGGAATTTTGCAGTTTTGGACTTTAAAAAAGTGAATTTTCCAAATGTCAACCGACAATCCTCCTTGGACTTGGGAAAGCTGTGATCAAATACCTGTTTTGATACTAAAAAAAGGCTTTATTTACTTGGAAATTATGGTATAGATGTATAGTGAAGAATGAGACGTATCAAATAGAACATATAAAACAAAAATATTTATATAAAGACAAATTCATGTAAAAAATGTGCGAACAGCCTCTGATATTTATTTTTAGTACAGTGAACCCTCTCTAAGATGATCATAAATACTAGTCTCTTTTTTTAAGACAATTAAAATTATTTAATTCATAAATTCTTGAATAAATATTTCAATAAAATAACATAAAATGTTTCTAATAAAATAACATAAAATGTTAAATTCTAGCTTGTTGAATAAAATTATTTATTGGAAACTAATGCAGCATTTACTATAACACTTTGCTAGAAGTTCTTAAATAGATTGAATGAACTATGTAATTATCATTGCCATTTTTTTCCTGTTATGTTGAAATATTTGGTCTAATTTATATAATCATTGCTTATATCTTACTCATTCTCCTATTGTTCTTATGGCAATTTGTAAAAAAGAGGGGTGCTTGATTTTTAAATTTCATAGATTTTACCCCTTTTCATCAAACAGTAGGAATTCAGATCCATCTGTGTGCATAGCTCCTCACCAAAGGTTCAGTCTGAACAAGAAAAGCATGCTTGCTGGACTATGTGTTTTCATGATTTTCTTCATGATTGCATAAATGTATTTCACACCATATTGGTTTAAAGAAAATAATAACAAATAGATCATACTAGCTTTGCCAGAGAGCACAAGCTAATTTGTATTTCATTTATTCTGTAATTTTTAATGCTATTATGCCTACACATAAATAAATAAAAAATTAATTTTCCCTGTATGAATTTCTGATTTTCGTTTAATAGTTGGCATATATATCATTATATGAATGTTTATCTCTAGTTTCATTATGATTCTGTATATAAAATCTGATGTTTTAACAGAACTCTTGTTTAGGGAACTGGGGCAAGAAGCTCTCATTGCTGCAAGAAAGATACGTGATAAATTTTTGAAAGGCCAGGAAATGAGGAAGGAGTTCATAAAACTAGGTAAAGAAAAAAAAGACGAATACAAGGTATTTTGATTGGTTCTGAAAATTATAACAAATTTTGATATTTTTGTTGAATTTGAAATTTTGATATTTTGTTTGTTTGAAAAGTTGATATTTTTGTTTATTTGATATGTACACTCCATTACCTTTAATTTTTTGAAAATAAAATAGTTTTTAAAATTTTAAGCAGTTATGATAAAAGGTATTAATTATATTGCAAAGAGAAAAAGTAAATTTCTCAGGAGGACTATAGGCTAAATAGTGATATTTAAAAAAAAAAAATTGCCCTATAAAATTTACACTAATAACATTTTTCAATAAAATTACACTAGCAGTTACTCTGAGATCTTCCCCCCCCCTGCAGGTCTACCTGACAGCTTCTTTTAATTGATATATATAAGTCATTGAAATGATGATAATTTATCAATCAATGAAGTCAGTATTCCTATTTAAGTAGATACCAGATTTCATCTTTAATTCATTATCTTTTACCTTGGAACAAGTTTGAGCATTAGCATTGATTGTTGATTATTAGTAGGTAACAGATGGGGATTTTATGTAACTTTGAGTAACTGCATTATGACATTTTAAAATTTAGGCACTGTTACATTAATGAAGCAGCAGTCAAAATGTGTAGAAAGACGCTGAATAGATATTAACTTTAGATTTCAAAAGTTGTCAAGATCGTGGCTCATCATTTTTTATCCAAATATGCTTTTCGTGTAAGATTTAGGCCTTTTTTTTTTTTAACGGACTTTGATTGATTTTACTTGGCAGTTACCAAATGATTGTTGACTTTTCTTAAATGCTCATTTATGCTGATATTTTTGAGTAATGATGCAACTTGAATGTATTATTAGTGTTGCATCTCTCTTTCAGACTACAATTTGTGCCATCATTTGTTTTTTGTGCTAACTGCTGCCCAATTAATGGACAGTTATTAAAATTTAAGTTATACTAAAAATCTCTGAAAATGATCAAGTACTAAAAATGAAAGCATCAAAGACTATAAAATTATAGTAAAAGCTGGGCTATTCAGGGAGCTCATAAAGTACTAAATCATACTAAAAATCTTCTCTGAAAGATTCTCTGAAAATTATCAAGTACTAAAAATGAGAGCATCAAAGACTATAAAATTATAGTAAAAGCTGGGCTATTCAGGGAGCTCGTAAAGTGCAGAATTCTGGATATGAGAAAGTTCTGGATAATTGAGCACGTAAAACGTGCAATCCAAGTCAAATGAATGGAAAGAACGATTTCCATTAATTAAACTTCTAATAAAACTTTTTGTTATAAGTATGCATTTTTTCTTATATTTTTTTATTTCTAAGAAAACTTCTAGTATGTGTGCGCATTTTATATTAGATAGCCTTTTATGCATTATTTAACTAAATTAAAAACAAATAAGCTAATAGCAAGCTTAATTATATTTGGTATGAGGAAAAGGCAACATGGGTGTCTGAAGTTCTGAATTTGATATCTGAATGAATAAAACTATGTTATGTAAAAATGAGATATTTGAATTAAAAGTACGAGTTACTTTTAAAATATTTTATCTCAGTGATTTTTAAAAAATAATCATAAATTAGAGGATCATTATATATTTCATTTAAATTTTAGTGCATAAAATGTTATATCATGATTTGTGCATTTGTATCAGTTTAATAACTGAAAAATTGCTAGCAAAAATATTGCATATGTATGATATGTTTAATTAATTGTTTTCATTAATTTATTGTATCATATGAAATAAGATGTAATTGCTCTAAGATTTGGTGATACCTCTTTAAGATGATCATCTTTGAAAATAATCAATATTTCTCATAGTAAAAAGTTTAGAACATCATTAGTATCATTGTTCTAAAGAGCAGTAACATCTATAGAAAACCAGAATCATCTGGAACTGTGGATTATAATCGTAAAAAGTTTTGCTGTGATTTCTGAGTTAAAAAAATTATTATTTGTTTTGAAAACATTGTTTATTGAAATACTATAATTTCTGTATTATTTTTATTAGGCTGTTCTAGATGAGTTATATAAACAAGAACAAGAGGCCATCAAAGTGAAAGAAGACAAACAAGGTATTATATGTAGTTTTACTGCTGCATAGAATAGTGGGTGCCATTTAGTATGGTCATATTCATGAGTGGCTTTTTCAGGGCCAAAAATCTCAATGCAGTTTAATTAATTTAATAGAAATATATAAAAAATATTACTGATGTACACATAATAGGATTTTAACTAAAATTTAAAAATAATATTAAATCACCAACAATGGATTGCCAGCAATCGTTTGTTCACAAACTGTTCATGTTTATAGCATTTCTTAATATGAGCAATGTTATACTCTTAATAATAATAAGACAATAATAAAACAAACAATTTCCTCGTCTCAGCTGTTAAAAGAAATTCCTCAACAATTTTATTGTCATCTTTAGAAGGCTTTTCATATTGTTACGAAATGTCCAGGTGCAGTAAGTTAGCTTCCTTGCAAAACAGGTTTAGGGTTGCCATAAAATGGCAAGGCTGTCACATTTGGCGAAAAAATTGGCGATATGCTACAGATGGATGGAGAACCTTCTGGGACGAATTCTTACCAGTTTAGCCCAGAATGTTCTCGAACACAAGCCAAAAACTATATAAACCCTGCTGGTATGCGGAGAGTAGTATCGAGTCTCGAGTTAGTAAGTCAGTGTCATCGAGTGCATTGCGAGTTCTAGCATGGAAAGTCTCGAGAGTAGGTGCAGTTCCGAGAGCGACCGAGGACAGTCGGGAGCTGTGCTTTGGTGCATTGCAGTGAAGCTGTCACCACCGTTATTACCTGACAGTGTGAGCTGCGTTGATGATTATTCCAGCGTGTCTATAGTAGATTTTCGACGACTGTAAAAGTATTTTGGAACTGTCCTGATTAATATTGGTAAATAAAGTGTGTTTCGATATTCCATCAAGTGCTGTCGTCATTATTCACTCCAAATCCATACGAACGTGAAAGAAGAAAATAGCGTAACAACTAGTGTCAGAAAAAAACAAAACAATATATTAAATTCAAATATATTTAAGAAAGGGATTGACAAGTTGATGCTGCAACTTGTATTGTTTCCTAATTATATATCCCAGCTATAAATTTCTTACTATGTTCACTTCACCAATACCTCAGTAGTTAAACCCTGCTGGGAGTTCCATATAGGTTTGATCCCAGGCAAATAGGCTAGTTGCATGGTTGGTTTTTGTGGTTTTCTTTATAAGCAACATGAATGCAAGCCAGTTTCTCATAGAAAGGCCTCCATGAAGACATACTCCTTTGGTATATAGCTCTTGTGTGCTTTGCTGTACTCAAATAGCCTAAGAAACCATCTTACAACTCACATTTGTTGGAGATATTGTATTTCTTTCTCTTTTTTTGTCATTTATTTAAGAATTGCCATGCTTAAAACAGTTCTTTTAGTTTCTAAGATGTGGTTCCAGCATATTTTTCATAATATGTAGCACATCAGTAAAATAATAGCTAATGTAATACCATTATGAGAACTTTATTTTATTTCATGGTGATAAAATTATATGCTGTAATAATTTTGCATAAAATAAATATTATTAAGAAATTTTATGATTTTTTAATACATTTTCTAGCAGATATGTATTGTGAAAAATGTTTGAAAAATAGTTATAGGGGGGGGAAGGAAGTTGTAAATTCTCTTTAAAAATGTAACTTTTAATCTGATCATTCATTTTCTCAAAAAAAAAAAAAAAAAGTGATGTTCTGTTATTTCATTTCCATAAGGAGAAATATTATTTATTTGATTTTTGTGAGTACAAATTTGCATTTTGGTTTTTTTATTGACTATTTTCTACACGTTTCGTTTTGCAATATGAACTTATCTTCAGAATGGTAGAATCTCTCTTAACTGGTAGCCGTGGGATTTTACCATTTCTGGATAAGATATTTTTCCTAATGATTGACCCATTTCTGTTTTGTCCTCTGATTGTATTTTTCGTTCTATAGGCCACTATTAAATTAATAATATAAGAAACCATACAGGTTATTTAAAATTAAAGCACATACTCATGACTTTTATATTTCAGAAAAACAAAATTAAACATTTTAAAATTATCATATATTTTATTACATGAAAGTTATAAATTTCTTAGTGATGGCATATAACAATGAAGCATCATAACATCATGTATGGCCATGGATGAACATTTTAAAGCAAATCTTATGAAATTTAGCAATTCTTCATCAGCTTCCTTCCATGTAACTTTCTTGCTTTGTGTATCATCATCTTCATTCTGCTCCTCCTTCTCATCATATGTCTCCTTTCTCATTACACATTCTATCATCTTGAAAGAATATGAGGGGAAAAAAATTGTCCATCCATCCAAGTCTGCATCTTCTTTTTACCAACATTAATCATTTCCGAACATTTAACTAAATCCAAGATGTGGAACATGAGTGCTGGACTTGTTTTAAAACCAAGAGAATGATCATCACTTGACTCATCATCTATGAATATGACCATAGGCTGTACTTTGCACCAAATTGAATGTAAAGTAATTTTCTTCATATTTTTCCAAGCAAGACCAAGCAAGTAAATATGGTGTCTTTGAACATAAATTCTTTTTGAAAATCATGCACACTACCTTCAATCAATGCATAAAAAGGGATTGGTGGTTCATCTTTATATTCTGAATAATTCATTGGTTGGATAAGGCTTGTTACATAGGGTGGCAAAAACATAATACAAAAATTCTAAGATTTGGACCTTCAAAAATGTTACATAAAATTAGGCAAAGCAAAAACCTTGTGCTTGGTACATATTTTAATAAAGACTGTTGATTTTGAGGGCAAAAGGTGCAGGTTCCTCATCATCAGCAAAAAAGAAACTCTGCAAAGAAGAAAGCTATATTTATACCAAAAGCCAAAAAGTAAAATGAACAGCAATAGCTGTCTGCAAAAATAATAACAAAACATGAAAAATTAAGTTAATAGCATTTTAAAAGCTATAGGAAGAACCACATTGGAATTAAAAGTCATTAACTAAATAAAATAAATCTTTGTGAATGTGAAAAGCTTCAAGGAAATCTAATTCACTGACTGAAGAAGCTTTCTGGAAAAGTTTTGCAGACCCAAAACCAAAACAATAAAATTAAAAAGAAATAAATCTTTTGATAGCTAATCATAGTTGGAAATTTAATCACAGTTTTGGATTTGGGTCTGCAATACTAAAGAATTCTTAAGAAGAAATAAACAAGTCTTCAACTGTTAATCATTGTTTGAAATTTAATCACAACTTTGACTTGGGTCTTCAAAAATAATTCAAAAAGCTTCTTCAGTCAGTCAATCTGGAAAATTTGCAAATTTAACACTGATTTTTGTTGTTTGACCTCTAAAATAATCATTGTTCAGTGTGCTATTTTAACCTAAAGAATTATCTTATTTAGTTAATGACTTACATCTCAATCCAGTTCTTCCTAATACTTTTAAAATGCTATTAACTTATGTTTCTTGTTTCATTACCATTTCTGTGGACAGATGTCACTATCTCCCTATTTGTTTTACTGTTTGGCTTTTGGTACAAATAAAGCTTTCTTCTTTGCAGAATTTCTTTTCTGCTGATGATGAGGAACCTGCACCTTTTGCTCTCGAAATCAACAGTCTTGGCTAAAATATATGCCAAACAGATGATTATTGCATTGCACAATTTTATTTTTTATTTTGCCATGTTATCTGTTCTCTCTTAACTTCAAAAGTGTTGTAATTTCCATACTGCCTGTTAATTTGGATGCAAGTTGTGAGAGATTTTACTGCATTTATAAAATTGTTTAACAGGGATATGTTATGTGAAAAATCTGTAATTGTGTAAATATCTTAATTCAAACTAATTTTAATGGTAAAATAAATTTGCACTTTTTAATGATTCTTTAACAGTTCATACATTGTGATACTAGCATATGTGCTTTTGTGTAAATTTTGATGTTTTGAATTAAGTAAATCTGTATCATTTAGTAGACTCATGTATATTATTAGTGTTATATTCTGAATAGTTTCAAATGTGTTTTCATTGTCTAATATTCTATGAATTCATTTTTTGATAGATGAAAAAGAGAATGCTGAAATGAAGGAAAATCTCATTCTTAGTAAAGAACGGGAATTTAAGAAAGGTCTGTTGAGACATAAACTAATTATGTCATATTTGTCATAAATGATATCTTTATTTGTCATGTTTAGATAAATTAACATATGAAGTTGAAATTCAAGCATAAGTATTTCATATTTAGCTTCATGAATTCCCCCCCCATTAGTTATATCAGAGTTGATGCTGACTCTCTAACTTAGTCTATGTATTATTTTAGATTAAAAAAAGTATTCATTCGCACTAAAATATTTTAGTGAATAATGAAACAAAACCCCCAAGCGTGGCTTAGTTCTAATTCAAAAGCTGGCTTTTTTCTTTTCATTATGACTGTGTATATGAAAATAAGTCATGTTAATTCCAAATATTTCAGGATAAGAATAGTTTGCAGTTATATGTACAGGGTAATCTTTTTTAAAGTGACAGTGTTTGGAGCGCCCTGTAGCGCGATCTGACAGACGAAATGGTACCAAACTTGCTATTTACACTAATCAAGGCATGGGACATCAAGATATACAATCGTACAGTTAAATTATCAATACCCAATGGAGCTCGTTTACTTCAGCTGAGATTATTTGTCGGAGCTGTCTACTACTTGCTTTTATAGCCCCTATTACTGGTGCTGTCATCTCACAACATTTGCATTTTTCTTTGACACCCGTGTTTTATGCTAATTCTCGTTATGGTAAGCTACAGCAGCACCACAAAATGCCCTAGCAGCGATTTTTGGAAGTAAAATTTTTTTCACAGAATCCTTTTTCCCATGTCTTGATTAGTCTAAATACCAAGTTTGGTTCCATTTTAGCTATTAGATCACGCTACAGGGTGCTCCAAACACTGTCACTTTAAAAAAGATCACCCTGTATTTCATGTCATGTTATTGATTCCAATACCTGTATAGTATTCCGGTATCCATGAACTCTCTCATGACAGCCACCTCTCAAAAAAGACCACTTCTGAAAGTAACCATTATTTTTGAAAACATAATTAATCATCACTACTGAACATCATCTCTCTGAAATGACCACTTTCACAGAATGCAAAAATCAACTGGAATTAAGGGTGGTTATTTTAAAAAGGGATTACTGTAATTTAATAGAGTATAAAGATTTTTTTTCTTATTTCTGTAAATAGTAAATTAAATATATATATATGTTCTAGTCTTGCCATATTAATTTCAGCTTACGATAAATGAGTTCAACATGAAATGCTTTTATGATGCATTTAAAAATGTTTTATTTACACCATGTTTACTTTTATGATTAATTTTCTGAGAATTTCAGAGTTAATCTATCTAAGGATAATGAAAAACGTTTTAGAAAAACTACATTTAATAGCATCCTGCAATTGTTAAGTATAGAATAAATATCAGAAATGGCATTGTTGCCTTTTATATATATTTTTCTATTACAAGAAAAGCTGGTATCTTCTTTTTGACATTCACTTTTTCTACTGCAAAGATATAAATTCATGGCAACTTTCAGATGTAAAAATTTTGCTTCAAATTTTTTATGCCTTTTTTCATTTATTGTTGCTATTTTGTTTGTAAGATTTCGTTGTTATTTTTCCAATGAATTCCGGCTGCCATTTATTGAGGCTATTATTTTATAAATTAATTTTTAAACAGTAATCAACTAAACAAGTAAACAAGCAATCTTTCCTAAGGTATAAATTTTTAGTTAGCTTTCTTACAACTGTGATTATTTTTATTTGATTTGAAGAAATATGAGAAATGGGGAAAATCTGCTTTAAAATTGTGCTGTTAAATAAGCACAATTTGCTTATTTAACAGCGCAATTACACCATGCATTGCAGTTTATGAATTGCAATGCCCTTTTTATGCATGGTTTTATGCACCTTGCATAAAAAGGGCAAAAAATATAGTAGACAATGTATGTTTTTTTCTTTTCTGGATAATTGTTTTTAAAACATTGTGTGTAAAAAAAAAAAAAAAAAAAAAAATTATCTATACATATTAGTTTTCTTTTGGTTTTATATGTTATTACTTATCTTTTTTTGTCTGTTGTATTATACAAACTGTCTTTTAGCCCAACAGAAACGGATTGCTGCCGAAAAACGATTGCTGTTTGAACACCAGCAACAGGAAGAAGCTGAAGGGCAGAAAGCTTTTGCTGAATTAGACATCAATAAGGATGGAAAGTAAATATTTTCATTTTTCCAAAGTATTTTAATTTATGACAAATTCTTAATAAATTATTATCTGGTTGAAAATGACTTGATTTACTTTTATGCCTGGAAAATATAATGTCATTTTATTTTTCTAAAGCATTCAGCTAAGTTTCACATTAAAAAATTTTTTAACCCTTGCATTTGGAGAGTTGGACAAATATATTAATGAAATATTTTTATTAATAAGTTATTTTTGTAGACATTAGTCAATTTCCTTAAGCTCAGGATCAAGCTTTTAAATGATATCATATATGTGCTTTCAAAGATTTACTGAGAAATCTTTTTTTTTTTTTTTTTTTTTTTGTTTGTTTGTTTGTTTGTTTGTTTGATAGTAAAGATTGTAATATTCTGTTGATATGTGAAATTCTGAGAAATAAATTTTTCCCTTTTACCCACTAGATGGTATCATTAATAACATATTCATGTCGATATTTCACTAGCATTCCAAAACAGTGTTTCTGAAACATTTTGGTTTCCTATACATTTTTGGAAAACCTTAGCTACTCAATACCCCTCTGAGAAACCATACCTATTTTTTTAATAAAACAGTAATGGTGCAAATGAATTATTTGTATATTTATAAAATTATCAGTAAATGCATAGTCATATTTAACTAAATTACATAAAAGACAGGAATACGAATTCAACTAATGACAATACAATTTTAATGAGCCTAATAAGCTTCAGTGCCTCTTGACAATTTAACCTGAGAACATATACAGAGCTAGAATAATCTTTTCAGGGCTTTTCATCCTGTTCGTCTAGTTATCCATATGTACCAAACTGACTGCAGATGTTTAATCCCTCCAACAACTCACTGCACATTTGCTGACTTCTTACCAAACCCAGTGTATTCAATTAATGACCTTTTTATGCAGTGAAGCTGCAGTTGAACTTAATAGTTAACTGCAGGGTAAAATGTAGGGTATGTTATTCATATTTTACTTTATATAGCATTTTTCACTGTTATCTAAATGTAACATATATGAATTTGATAACATTTAAAAATCAAATCGTGATGTAAAATTGAATACTTAGCAATGTATTCCTTGAATTGTGGGTCAATTTTTTTCACCAGACCATTTGCTTAACTAAAAGTAAAACAGATACATTTAGTAAAGTTAATTATTTTACCTTAATATTTGTAAGAGTTTACTTAGTTTGTTGCTTCCAAAACAGTGAACCTGAGCTAAAATTTTTATTCTTATTTTGTGAAGCTGATTATTAGGTTTTAATTTGCAGTTGTTTAAAAAGCTGTAACTATATTTTATAGCAGACATTACAAAAATTATATCTTGTATTAATTGTCTGCTAAGTTGTATACTCTTCTAATTTACCCAGACAATCACTCTCTGTAGTACATCTTAGCCTACCTTGTTCATTAACTGTTTAAAATAAAAGATAAAATAAATAAAAATATTGACAACTGAAAATTTCAGATTGCAGTCTAACAACTCAAAGAACAGTTTACCATTAAAAATCACAATTCAAATTGTATAACAAATATAAAAATTATGAAAGAAATGATCCTACACCAATTAAATAAACCCGTACCAATCACTTAGAAATATCTTTTATTAATTGCAACAAAATGCAAATGTTCATAAGAAGTAAAAAATTTAAATTATTAAGAAATGTGTTTATTGCTTTTAATTCATTCAGCATATCAACTAATGACTGTTTACTTGTATTTTAAAAAATGAATTAAAGTTCCTTACGCATTGGTGAATGAACCAGCTATGCGCAAAGGCACAGGGAAGATACGTCTTTTGTTTCAAGCAGAGGAAATGCATTTACATTTCTCAATTACATTAAAAAACATGATAATTAAGTCAGAAAAAGTTCTTAATGGATTTGTAAATGTTCTTACAAATTATAATCTTGTTGTTATTGTTTAATTTTGTTCTTAGTGGAGTGTTTTTATGAGATTCAAATATTTCTTTATGAAATCGATGAACATGGTCTGGGACTCGGTGATAAAGAATGGTTTTTTAAGACCTTTTTTTCTCAACAGATATAATGAACCATTAGAAAGTTTTCAACCTATGACTCCAAAGCAGTTTTAAAGTTTAAAGACGTTTAAAAATTACAGTTTTAAAGATGTACAAGGAATGGAAGTCTTTCTTCGAAATTAATATTACTTAATACAGACATAAGAAAGAATTTTGTTTCTTTCTCTTGATGAAATGGCAAAATGAAAAATAAAATATATGAGATCAATCTTAATATGTTTGAAAGTTGGATTTGTGCATTCAAAATGAATTTAAAATATTTACTTTTATATTAAAGCCCAATAAAATATGAGAAAGTCTTCTAAACATATAGCATTTAGAAATGTATTGTGTTGTTGTGACTATCTAAGCTCCAAGGAAGATGGATCCAAGGATCTCTCACCCCTCTTTCCCTACCATCAACCTCTGGGGAGGACACTTCAATTTCATTTTTTTATATATATATATTATATATATATTCTGTTTTCTTTGCCCAATAATATTTATATTCCATGGCATAATTTTTACAATATAACTTCCTGAAATGGTAGAACTGTATTCTATGGCAGATGCATACATTTTCTAATAATGTTCAGAGTTCTCAACTTATATTTACTGGTAAAATAGCAGTTTGTCAGTATTTGGTACATTTTTGTTAAACAGATTCTCAAATCTCTATGATAGTTTTTGCAGCTGTTTCCTTTTTCTAGTTGTTAGAATTGTTTCTCTAAATAGGAAAAAGGGAGTGCTATGAGAAATTTCAAATTAATATTCCATAAACCAGGATAAAATCCAGTTATCTGCTTCTGCAGCCCAAACTGTTAGTAACCAGATTTAAATTTCAGCTTCTTATTTGTACCTAACTCAATAAATTCTTTTATCGAGATACTTCTCAAATTTCATAGAGGGGGTTCAAAAACCAGTTGTGTAAATATTTTTAAAATACTATAAAATTGTTTCTTGAAGTCCAGTTCTAGAAATTCCAAGCACATCTTCACTATTTTTTTGAGAAATTTAGAAAGTGGATAATATTTCCTATTTCAAGCTTCCTTTATGAAGCTTAGCCACAAGTGCAGAAATTACATTTGCAAATTTTAAATTCAAATAATCATATTGGATTTGATCCATTGAATTTATTAAAGTAATCTGGTAAGTAAGCTATGTCTAGTTTTAAATTTAAGTCTGCTTTTAAAGTAGCATCTTTATTTTCCCAATACCGATAACTTAATATTTAAATTTGTAAGCAAATAACAATGCTTAGCAGATTCATTGATCCTTTATAAAATGTGAAAAGTAAGGCTTACTATCCTGGCAGAGTTGACTTATCACATTTTATTGAAAAATTAGATTTTTTAAAAATTTCATTAGAGTTTACTGTTTTGAATCATCTCACTTATTCTTCTTTTAACTGTGTCATAACTGAAAAGGATATTTTACTTCTTTCTTGTTTTAATGGTTTTAGTTGGTAACTTAAATAGCTTTGTTTCTAGTGTATCTCTTATGGCTATTAGAATCAGTTCTTTTCCAATAATATGTGGTTTTTCTGATCTAGTAAATATGATATATATAAGAATATAAGAAGCATATAATGTACCATTATCTTGTTTGGATACTGTTGTAAAAAGATTTGTTCTTTCTGTTCCGAAAATGTGGGCTTTTATAAACGTTTTCTCGAGGCTTTAAAAAAATTGCAAATCTGTATTCATTTGTCTGGAAAGATTTTTGACAGATGTTCCCACGGCCCATTATATGATGCCTCCCTGATATGTCTGGAGCTTTAATGTCCCTCTTAGGCCACTCTAGTGCCCTCTTTGGGGCAGTATCTCGGACTTTGAGAATCACTGTTCTAAAGTTTGGAACTGTCTAGTAGCATCTTAAAATTATTATTAGAAATACCTAGCTTCAGTTTTACTGACAGAGAAAAAGAAAAAAAAAATATCTCTTCTGTTGGTAGAAACAGAACACATTATGATTTTTATATATATATATATATATATATATATATATATATATACATATATATATAAATTTGGATTCTGTAACATTAAGGATTTTTTAAAGCTGCTTTTAAGGAAACATGTTTCCTGCATTTTATATTTAAATTGTATTTTTCTTACATGTTGCCCACAGTGATGGCCATTTATGCAAATAGGGTTTTTTCCCTCCCTCCCCTTGTCGCTTAGTTTCTTTCTTTTTTTTTTTTTTTTTCCTCTCTTTTAAGTACTTTCCTATTAAAACCATCCTTTCAAAAAGTTTTTGTTTCTATCCCACAAAATGTTGCCAAATATAGTTGGCTAATGCTTATCTGAGTTCCCTTTTTATAGATAACATGAACATTTTGAGCTTGTAATTAAATACTGATTATGTGCATTGACAAGTTAAAAATACAAAGATTTTAGTAATCCCTTACAGATGATGAAACACATAATTATTGAGCACTTAAGTGTGAGAAATGTGGTGTACAGGGTGTCCATAATTAAACTTGAAATTTGCGAGCAGTCTGTAGCAAAAACTATGCAGCAAAATTGCATGAAAATTGAGTAATGGCAGAATGAAATGATGGGAATTTTATCGAGGGGGGAAAAACATCGAGTTTCAAAAAACACTACTATATGGTGTTGTGTAATGTAAACTATTGGCATATGCAAATGTCATAACCAGAGTAATCCTGTGCACATACAGCAACCCTATAAAGATGCAAGGGGAGAACTGCAGTCATACTCATTTCCAAATCAAGAAAGATGACGCAATCTCTCCAGGAACGTGCTTTACTGCTGAAATTGCTTTACCAAAACGGAGACTGCTGCTGAAGCTTTGCAAAAATTTTGGTCTTTGAACCGGTTACGAAAATGTCCACTCACTAGCCAAGGACTAACAAACATGATTAGGAAATTTGAAGCAATGGGAACATTGGGTATTCAGCCAGGAATGGGACGAAAGTGTGTTGCAGCACATGTAATGGATGATGTAATGAAGCAAGTGGAGGAAGACAGATCGCAAACCATTGGCAGACTAGTGTTCGGCGTATTGCAGCATCTGTTGACCAGCCTCGTTCCACGCTTAGTAAGATTCTTCAAAAGGCCTTACGCTACTATCCCTAGAAACTGTCGCTAGTGCAGCAGCTCTTACCAGCTGATCTGGATAGTCGACAAACTTTTGTGTTGTGATTTCTTGCACGAGTCGAGCTTTAGGATGAATGACCATGGAACATTTTGTGGACCGACGAGGCCCACTTTCATATGAAAGGGGCGGTTAACATGCATAATTGCTATATTTGGACTGCTACAAACCCACATCAATTCCTGCAAATGCCATTACACTCTTGTCATGTAACGGCTTAGTGCAGCTTTACTGCAACCTTCATTGTGAGTCCGTTTTTTTCCGAAGAGCACAGCGCCGCACGGCCTGTGACATGTACTGTCACCGGTCAATGATATGCTTCATTATTAGAGCAATCCGTAAAAATGGCATTGTGCAATGTTACATTGCTATGTTACTATTAGCATATGCAAATGTCACAACCATAGTAATCCTGTGTGAGCACAGCAACCCTATAAAGATGCAAGGGGAGAACTGCAGTCATACTCATTTCCAAATCAAGAAAGATGACGCAATCTCTCCAGGAACGTGCTTTACTGCTGAAATTGCTTTACCAAAACGGAGACTGCTGCTGAAGCTTTGCAAAAATTTTGGTCTTTGAACCGGTTACGAAAAATGTCCACTCACTAGCCAAGGACTAACAAACATGATTAGGAAATTTGAAGCAATGGAAACATTGGGTATTCAGCCAGGAATGGGATGAAAATGTGTTGCAGCACATTTTCATCCCATTCCGATGATGTAGCGATGCAAGTGAAGGAAGACAGATCGCAAACCATCGGCAGCATATGTTGACCAACCTCGTTCCACGTTTCATAAGTTTCTTCAGAAGGTCTTATGCTACTGTCCTTATAAACTGTCGCTAGTGCAGCAGCTCTCACCAGCTGATCTAGATAGTCGACAGACTTTTTCATTGTGGTTTCTTTTGCGAGATGAGCTCCAGAATAAATGGCCATGGAACATTGTGTGGACCGACGAGGCCCACTTTCATATGGGAAGTGTGGATAACACGCATAATTGCCATATTTGGGCTCCTACAAATTCCATTACACTCTTTGCATGTAACGGTTTAATGTGGCTTTACTGCAACCTTCATTGTGGATCCCTTTTTTTTTTTTTCGAAGAGCACAGCACCACAGAGCCTGTGACATGCACCATCACTTAACAATGATACACTTCATTATTAGAGCAATCCATTATTCGAGCTCTTCAGGCAAGGCGATGTAATACAACCACAGTGTTTATGCTGGATGGTGCCTCTCCACACATTGCCTGTTGAGTGAAACAAGTGCTCTGCCGCCATTTCGGTGATGTCATCAGCCGGCAATTTCCTACAGCTTGGCCTCCTAGATTCCCCGACTTGAATCCTTGCAACTTTTAACCGTGGGGATACCTCAAGGCCATGGTCTACTATGATCCCATCATAGCTCTATCCGACCTTAAAGAAAGCATAGAATGCCATATGTCATTTTCCATTTCATGCTGCTTTCAACAGTGGAACATGTGATTTTACACTTCTAGATGATAGCAGACAATGGTGGACATCATATCGAGCATGTTTTATAAACTTTTGTAGATTATTTGTATGTTCTCTAAAAAACTATGGTATGCCACCTAGGGGTAGTTTTTGAAACTCATTGTTATTTTCCCCTCGATAAAATTCCCATCATTTCATTCTGCCGTTACCCAATTTTCAAGCAATTCCACTGTATAGTGTTTGCTACAGACTGCTCGCAAATTTCAAGTTTAATTATGGACACCCTGTATATATATGTTTGTGTGTGTTTGACATATATATATGGGGGGGTATAGTCGGCAAATAGCAAGCAAGGTCTGATGTCATCTGAGTAGCAGCCAGTGCGGTGCGCTGAGGAGTGAAGAGTCTCAGACATGGATTAAGGCTGACATGCTTTAGTTCCGTGTCCAAACTGATGACTGCTGGCCATGGAGACTCTCAAGGACCAGGTAGACAGCTATGAGCCCAAAACTGTGTTGACTTGTCTTCCTGGAGGTTGATAAAGGGATAATTTTCCAGTTGTGTTATGGAAATCCACCCAGAGATTTGACAAGAAATGCAAAGTCTGTGAACTGTTGATTACTATATGAACTATTCTTGGACTAAGATAAGTTGTAAGGTTATCATTATGCCTATTTCATCTGTTAGCAGCTGTAATGTTTATTTTATCTTTTATCATATTTTCGTTCCATCTTAGTAAATTCATAAATAAATTAGATTAGTTTATACTTATCTCGTGTTCTGTATGTATATAACCTCACAATATATATATGTGATGATTTTGAAATGTGTAGATAAAGGCACAGGAACTTTAACAGCTTACCATACTGTGTAGATGACCAAGAAGATTGTAGTGGCTTGAAGGTGCCAGTGTGGAAAGCATGATGATGCAATTTAGCACAACGCATCTTGAAAAATCACAATCTTTATTTTTATTTTTTTTATGCATATCAAATCATCCTTTTTCAGACAAGATGTTTCCTAATTATATTTGAATACAGTAAGTTGCATTTTGAAGTACGATGTCCTTTTAAGCAAGTAAGCGGCAGCAGCATACATAAAAAGCATCTTGCCGGCAGGAGAGCTTATGTGGAAAAGGGGAAGAGTATCATAAAACTTCAGAGGAAGAAGGGTGGGAGTGGGAAAGTTTCAGTTCAGAGTTTTAGTTTACAATTAATTTGATTGGACAAGAGGTATCTGCATTAAAACATTACATAAGATAGAAAAATCTGGAACCTGTGAGAAGAGATGAATTTAGGGGCAGATCACCAAATTTAGAATGTTAATTTTGAGGTCGCCAATTATTTTTTTTTTTAAACAGCTATCATATTTTGTTATATCTTACATATATATATATATATTATATATACAGGGTGTCGCATAAATGTTGCAACAGACTTCTGGAGGAGATAGGGCACATTATAAGGATTAAGGATTACATAGGAACCCATACCAGAAATGTCATCATATGCCACTTGGGGGTGCTGTACAGGGCAGTGGAAAGTGAGGATTGCCTCATTCGAGCAGTAGGTACCATACGAAGAGCATGGAATGCTATACGAACCAGAAGCTTGCAGACATGCACTTAGTGTATAGAACAGCTGAAGGTAATGGACAAACCGCTGTATGCATTTATTGCGAACGCTTCTCCGACAGACATCAGCCATACCACAGTTTGTTTGCACATCTGCAACAAAATTTGTGCAACTACGGATCATTAAGAAGTGGACTCATTTTGAACTGGATGTTCGTAGGCATTTGAACAGATAATTCCCACATCAATGGATTGTATGTGGTGAACCAGTTCTCTGGACCCCAACCTCACTGGATTTGTCACGCCTTGATTTGTTTTTGTGGAAAGTCATCAAAAGTGTCGTGGTCATGTATTATGATCCTTTTGTGTGTGAAAAGGATCTCATGGCAAGACTTGCCTGCGCAACTGCTACAATCAAAGAAACTCCCTTGTGTTTGAACATGCCTGGCAATAAATGGTCCGTTGGCAAGAGGCAGGTTTACCATCTGATGGTGCAAACTTCAAGCATCTGTTGTAACATTCAAGTCTGCCACGTTTTGGCATCCTTCATTGAATGCTTTCACCCATCTTGCTACGGTTCTGTAAGGCAATGTAGATTCCCCGCAAGCCTCTTGAAGCCCTTGATGACACTGTCGTGCTGTACAACCTCTGGCACATACAATTTTTATCCAACATCGTTGTTTTTGTTTTGAAAACATCCTGACAACACTTACTTTAGACCGCGAGCTAATACAAGGATCCTTTCTTCGCGTCACTCCACATGTGCATGACGCAGGCAGGACGAGTCTTTTTGCTGAGAGGTAAGGTAGGTATGTAGTATACGCGATATTCTTTGGTTTTGTTGCGTAGCGTTTTTTCAGCTGTGTTGCCACTATTAAAGTTCCAACCCTCGTATATGTTCTATTTATGTCACTTTAATTCTGCTTCTGCTTGTGATGTTCATTAATTATAACTTATTTGTATTAAAATTTTTCTTGCATTTGAATGAATAAAAATGTCCTTTATAGGTTGACAACTACTGAAGTAAAATCATTCAGCCGATTTGATTATGATGGTGATAGCATGGTGTCTGATAAAGAAGCTCAGGTATGATGCTTTTATATAAATTCATTAAATGTTTAATGAGTAATTTAATATTTTTTTAGTCTTAAATTGGTTTTTATCTTTTCCAGTTCTATATGCATAAAAAGGAAGAAATGACTCTGGAGGATTTTTTATCAAATGGTTGGAAAATCATGAAGCCAGCCTTTATCATCACTGAGGTATTTCCTGTATTGAATTTGTATGATATTTCTATATATATGAAAATGTTTTCGTTTAATATCTTAATAATGATAAATGTACAGCTGAACTGTTTGCTGGATTTCTATGAAATAGTAGAATGAGTAAATCTATTTGGAAAAGTAACTTGTAAATTCGTAAATTTCATTGGTGCACAACAGTTAGTTGTGGCACTTGTCTTCAGATGGTACCAGCTGTTTTCTGCATACAGGGAATCTGTTGAAAATGGTATGTGTACAGGACATGTAATATTTTCAGAATGAATCAGAAATTGCCCTAAAATCATTTTGATACAATAGATGAAACAGCAAATGCATCATGAATCAGCTGCTGTTTTTTGATAATGATCTTGAGTTCTTGTACAATATTTTGTTCTTCTCTATTCTTATACAGTCTGATCTTGTGAATGAATAACAGTCCCTCCTTCAGTCTTGACATCTTAAACATTTTCTGTTCAGTCATGGAAAACAGCAGATGCATGGGAGACATTTCTGCTTGTCAGAGGAGGTTATCCATTGCAGTGACAGAGGCTGTACTATTGAGTCCTGTCTTGAATTTGTGCAGTTCTAACAACTGTACTGGCACTGACAGTATTACTTTGTGGGCTATAGAGGTTGCTTCCAAAATGAATAGTACCTATAACAAGAACATGGTACGAGATATGTGCTCAGAAACATTGCCTTAGAATTTATTGATTTCAGTTATAGAAACTGTTTTTATGAAAAAATTATATTTTCCCCTGAGTATTTTAGAATATTTTTCTTTCTTTTTAACTTTTTTAACTTTAATTTTATGGTAGCTTATAGAACATTTTTTAAATATATATATATATATATATATATATATATATATATTTAATAATTATTAAATTGTGTCTACCTTTTCTCTCAGACTGATGAACATACAGATTTTGATTCTACAAAAAGGGAAATGGTGACTGAGGAAGGCAATGTAAGTATGAGATGAAATTAGCATGTTTAAGTATTTTGTATATGTTACTGAACTTAATGTGTTAGAGACTTAAAATGGATTAAAATTCCTATAAAAGAATGTATTAATTTCTCTTAGACTTGCATTAATGATGTAATTTTATGTGTCATGGTTTTGTTTTGTCCAATAATAATCCAGCATTTTATTTCAGAAACAGAATTTGCTTTATACTATAGAATTCCAATTACATATCTTGGGACAAGGCTTGCACAGATTAGAGAATTTTGTGGGCTATAGGTTGTGTCTTCTGAGTTTTGTTTGTTCTATTTTTTTCTATTAAACTTCGATATTTGCACATATTAACTACTAAAACATAGTCAATTATTAATTCAAGATTTACAGACTACAGAACTATTATTTTTTAAGTATGATTATATGCACAAAAAAAATAATAATATCAATGCAAGAGAAAAATATTACTGAGAGAAAGGATAAATGATAGAAAAATATTTTAAGGAACTAAGAATATTTTTGTAAAAATGCATTAAAATATTTTAGGAAATAAAGGTATATCCACCAGTAAAATTACTTGGGTGGAAGAATTAGTGGCTCTTAAGTGAAAGAAAAATGAATAAATAAATATACTGTTTATAAAAAAAAAAAAAAAAAAAAAAAAAAAAAACTATGCAGCAAAATTTCTCAAATTTAATTGCTATTCTGCTCATGTAAAATTAAGTTAACATTACTAGTAGTTAATAAAAGGTTACATAATAGTTTTTTGGGGGGGATTAGAAACGCAGTTGTCTTAACCATATTTTCTATTTTTGATAACAGTAAAATCTCTTTAAGAACTGTTTTTAATAATTTATTACTGTTCACTGATGATGTAAAAAGCCTTGTTTGTCACACAGAATGTAAACAAATTAGCCACTAGGTGCATAAAACCTGAAAAATTGTGGACAGGTTAACTCTTTGTACATGCTAATCAAATAAACTCAAATAATTTTTGAAGACAGGGGAACATATATCTGAAAAAAAAAAAAAAATTTGTTTGAAATGAAAATTTTGAAGATTCATGATCAGTTTTTACTAAAGTGAAAACATTTTTCCATGCATGCAAACATGCACAGAAAAAATGCTAAAATAAGTTTGGTCATAAAAATAAATTCATTTCTGTGATCAAAATATGTTACATTTTGTTTATTTTCATTAAAAATTTAATTTACATATGCATACAAGAAAAAATTCCTCTTACCTTGCCGAATTTTCTGAACACTGAAATTTTATTTGCTTATATCCAGAAATGAGCAGGGATTAGAAGCGTTTGTAAATTAAGTGGTCGTGGGTTTCTAGAACTCTTTGTACAAAATGGTCATTGTATTTTTAGTGCAAATCTGGTTTCAAAAAGTGAAAAGAGACTGCTATTAGGTGATTACTTTATGTATTTTAAGGACATAATATGGGCAATACAAGGCTATTTATATTTCTTTATGCTATTTATATTTTTGGTGTAATGATGAAAAAACAAATGTTTATGATCAAAATTGGTTTTATTATTTTTCAAAATATTCTTCATGAAGATAAATGCACTTTTCCATGCATTTGAACCAATTTTTGAAGCACTTTTTCCACTCCGACTGAGGTAACTCCAAAACATGTGTTTTGAATGCATCAATTGCTTCTTTAAGTGTCACAATTGGCTGACCACATAATTTATTTTTGATGTGTGGGAATAAAATAAAGTCATTGGATGCCGAATCAGGGCTGTATGGTGAATGACCCATCAATTTGATGTTTAGGCCCGTAAAAAATTCCTTTGTTTGAGAGCTCGCATTGTCATGATGAAGAATGATTCCTCTTTTCGAATTTCTCTGATGACTTCTGGCAAACAAATGATCATGTACAATTCGGAATTAACTGTTCTGCATTGCTCTAATGTCACTGTCACCGTGTGACTGGTAATGCTGAAGGAAGAGGCAAACATTTGCTTCGATGTGCTTCTTCTGCGAACAACTTTTATTGGTTTTGGCTTGTCGGAACACCCATACAGTTGACTGATGTTTTATTTCGGCTCATATGGATAAATCGACGATCCATGTGTAGATGTTATACACAGCCTTTGATACACCTTGAACATATTTTTCTGACATCTAGCAACCAACCTTCTTTTGAGCATTTGTCAGATTATGTGGGATCTAACATGAACAAATCTGTTTCACTCCTAAATGTTCATGTAATATGTTATTGATACTTGTCATACTAATGCCCAAATATGCCTGTCTCATGGTATGTCACATGGCAATCTTGCTTTATCAGTTCACTCACAGCATTAATATTTTCTGGCACAAGAACCAATTTTGGGCGACCTTCATGGAATTCATCCCGGAGCGAATGGCGACCATAACTGAATTCTTTATACCAGTTTTTTACAGTGCTTTAGGATGGTGCTTTTTGTATAAAGAATTAAGCACCCTTGTCTTGATAATCCATGTCCGAAGTTATGAAAAATAATCACTTAAAAATGTTCACAAGTCAATTCCATTTTTTGCCTGTTATGAATTTTTCAATTTACTGTAAACAACACAAATCACGCTTAAAAATATCAAACTTTTGATTGGAATCATATGGGGTGTTGCCTAACACTTACTGTTTCCAAGGCCATAAATATAAATATCAACCTTCGTATTTGACTTGTTTTTGGACTGTCTGAGTCTTGTGATTTGAACTCATTTAACATTTAGAAAGTTTCAAATAATTAAATGCTGATAATAATTATTATTTCAATTAAGATTTTCAGGTGCAGTCTTTTGTAAATATCAGGCTTTTCTTTCCACCTGTATTTCTTATGTGTAAAATGTTGCAATGAATTTCTCTATCACATTAAATATCATGTTAATATTTTTCTAATTTATAATCTTGTTAAAGCAATGTTATTTCTTCTGGACTTCAGAAATTTTTCATCTTTATCCCCTCTACATGCTTTATTTTACTTTTGATATTGCTTTTTAAAGGTTTGCATATTCATTTGTTTTATCTTATTTTAAGGTTTTCGGAACTAAATATGTAACAGAAATTATACATCTTGTCATGATACAAAAATAATATCTTGAAGGATAAGATTTCTTATATTAAAACACTTTTTATGTTATGTAAATTATTATTTATAACAATTCTTAATCTAAAATCATAGCTATGCTTGAAAAATCTTGTAGCTTTTGTTAATTTCTAAATTTCTTGCAGTCTTATTTTTATCTCTCGCTTATGTGTGCTTTTGTAATCATGCTTTTAATGATCACCTGAATGACCTTCCTATACAAGATTACACAAAGAAATTCAAAATACTACTTGAATCACAAAAATTTTTGTGGAAATGAGTTATGAGAATTAAAAGCTGAATTTCACTAAGAATCATGATATATTTATTTCTACCAGTGGGGAGGGAAAGGAATAATCAAGTGACTGTTTGGTAGTCCTAATGTTCATTTTGACCCTTTTTGAGCTATTATGTATGATGCTTAATTTGTAAAAAAATTATAGGATCTAAAAGAAAATGCAGATCAAATGGATCCTTTTGTGGTAGATGAAACAGAAAAGGAAACCATTCTGAAAGGTTTGTGCAAAATGCTTTTAATTTTTAATATGACTTTAATTTTATTCAACCAATAATTTCTGAACACTTTAACTTCATACAGATGCTGCACTTGCAAGAAAAGATTATGCAGATGCTGACAAATTACTTCGAGATATTCAATCGGAAATCTGGTAAATTATATATTGAATTTGATTGCTGTTAATTATAACTTTTTAAATCTTCTTTTTTTTTTTTTTTTTTTTTTTTTCATGCAAAGGAAATTCATTAATCAACTGTTGTAACTTTAAGTTACAATTATTATAGTTTATATAATTGTAACTCCTGTTTAAGCTGTTGTGCAAATAAGAAGTCAGTGTTTTTTTATAATTTTTAATTCCATTGACAACAAATATGAATTAAATGGTGTTTTTATGTAATTTAAGAAGAGCTTAGAGGTTAGATAATTTATTGTTTTCTTTAGAAATTGAAATTTTAAGTTTGCAATCGAAAGTTTAAACTTGTTTATAATAGAAATTTCTTTTTAATGTTTTCTTTCCTTTTGGGGGGGTAGGTTTCTATCTTTTTTTTTTTTTTTTTTTTTTTTTATATAAATCTTTTTCATGCAATACTGAACTTATAACTTGCTTGTTTATTTTAGCGGCAGAAAATTTTTGCTTTGTGCTGAATCCTGTTTCTATTAAAATTGCCTGAAAATTTTAACTTATTAATCTGTTTGATTTTGTTAAAAACTTTTTCTTCCCATTCTAAGAATGTATTACTTGATAGATTAAGTTTATGAACTGTTTTGATAATAAATTCATTGAATTAAGACAACAATAACACGCCGAATAAATACTAATTCAGAAGTCAAACAACAAAAATCAGCGTTAATTTACAAAACTTTCACAGTGACTAGTTTCGATGGTTTTACCGAACCATCATCTTCAGCTGCAAAACCGCAAATGAACAAGATAGGAAATAATGTTTAGATAAGATAAGAAAGCCTGGACAAGAATAAGCAAGTGGCGCCATCTGTTGGCGAAACCAGAACTAAAACATAATTTCTCTAAAAGCCGAAGGCAAATTTGGATTGGAATTAGGATCGTTAACTAGAACAGAAAGATTTTTATGAATGTGAAATGCCTCTAGAAAATCCAGTTCTCCAATGGAAGATGTTTTTTGAATAATTTTGGCAGCAGAAAAATTGAAAGTGTGATTTTCGGACCAACAATGTTGAGCAACAGAAGACTTCTGTGTTTCCTTTTTCTAACATATGCCTCATGTTCTTTGACGCGAAATTTTAAGGCTCTCTTAGTTTGGCCAATGTAAATTAAACCGCACTGGCAAGGAATCCTATAAATACCCCAGGAATTCATATCCGGAATGGGGTCCTTGAGTATAGAAGTTGGAATTTTATTGATGGGAGAGTAAACAACCCGAAAGTTAAATTTCTGCAAAATATGTGCAACTTTATAGCTAATTGATGGAAAGAAGGGAATGACAACAGAATTTTTATAATCTCCTAAAATAAGAGTGTGGCTTTTAGTGTGTTGAGATGAGAATTTTTTAACTGCTTGATTAATAATGTTGGGTGAAAAGCCCCTGTCAATAGCTATTGCTTTTAAATAATTTAGTTCTTCATCAAGGGCTAGTTTGGAGGAGCAAACTTGAAGAGCACGGAAAACATAGGAATAAAATGAAGCTAACTTTTGTTTAACTGTGAAAGTTTTGTAAATTAACGCTGATTTTTGTTGTTTGACTTCTGAATTAGTAAATTCATTGAAGTTACTTTCATATTATTAAGGCAGTTTAAATTTTTAATGCTGTCGATTGGTGTAAATTTAGTTCCTTATTTCATAAGTTCATTTAATTGTTGATCTTAGACAATGTCTAAATAACCTGTTATGATGTGCTTATGGTGTTCATTGAGGAATGAAAGATATTCTGCTAAATTACAGTAATAGTCTAAAGTCGGATCTAGATCACGGTGGTTAGTAATCCTGTGACTTAAAGTTTTTTTATATTTAAAAGAAAGTATGATTCGAGCTTTAATTTCTGGGAAGTGTTTTTGGTGATTTTTAAATATTTTATGGAAATTAGTTTGGCCATATTTAGGATAAAGGAAAGTGATTTTACAAGATTATTTTAACACAAATCACTTTCCTAGGTAAAGGAAAGTCATTTTACAAGTGATTTGTGTTAATTTTTTTTATCTGAAAGTTTGTAAAAATATTTTGCTTGGTATACGGAAATTGAAAATGGTTGCTAATGAACATTAAGAATTTACAATTACAAGCGTGCAACCAATTAATGAGATTTTGAATGATATTTGTTTAAGTGAGAAATTTTTCAACATAATCTTGTTTATAGTCTTATAATGGTAAAAATTGTTTTTACAACCTTTTCTTTTTCCTTTATTTGTCTTTTTACTAAAAAGTTGAAATTGGCAGTAAGTTAAGAAATTTGTAGATTCTTTTTAATGCTCAATATATATGTTAAGCCCATTAGGGTAAAGCATTTTCATTTTAAGCATGTACAGTGATTCTTGAAATATTCTGTCATGAGTAACAATATCAACAATTTGAATGTCAATATTGCTGAAGTAATTGAAAGCGTTCCAATTCTGCTGTACTAATACTATTATTTTATGCTTAAGTCTTGCTTGTCATTTGAATTAATAAAGTTGAGTATTTTTTATTTAAAACTTATGATCATTAATTCGAAGATTAAGATTATTTTGTTCTTTCCAACATATTTAATGTTGCTTTTTTTGTGTGTGTATGTGGCAGAGCTATTGAGAAGTGTTGGTTTGTGCAGTAGCACTGAAGGCGTAGTGAGTAAGTTTCCTCAGGCGAAGTTTTCATTAAAGAATCATAAGTCAAAAAATTAACTACGAAATCTTTATTTAATAAAATAGGATAATTTTGCTTAACTTAAGCATAACAAAAAAGTAATAATCTTCACAGACATTAAAACACTGAATTATCGAAAAGAAGATAACTTACATAGAATCATCATCAGTCCTAAATATCATCAGGCTTACCTATTTAGGCAATAAAAAAAAGAAACAGGAACATACTTTGACACCATACCTGAAAAGAGAAAGTACTACTGAATTAGACCTTTGGCCATGATACACTCCACGTAGTTAAGGTGAAAGTCAAATATACTGCATTGATCACGAACTTTACTTTCTCTCCCAATATATATCTTGGCGCACATTCGTTTCGTATGCCTTTCGAGTTTCATTATGCAAAATACCTAAATTTATGCTAACATTGCCCCTGTTTTGCTAATGAAACTCATACCAATTACAATTCATTCCTACAAAACTGAAATTTAGCTTTAGGAATTGGTTTAGTGATAATATCAGCAACCATTTGCTCTGTTGAAAGATAAGCAAGTTTTACTATTCCTTTGTTATTCAAGTTGTGTATATGATGAACTTTTGTATCAATATGTTTTGTGCACGAACTGAATTTTTCAGATTCTACAAGTCTTATAGTAGACTGGTTATCTTCAAATATCTTTATCGGTAGAGTTTGGGGTATATTGAAATCTTCTGTTAATTTTAATAGCCATAATAGTTCTTGCGTAGCTTGCGATAGTGCAACATATTCAGCTTCTGCTGAGGATAAAGAAACACAAGTTTGTTTTTTTTGAAAACCACGAAATACAGTTTTTTCCTAATAAAATAACACTTCCTGGTGTAGATTTTCTATCTTCAATATCTTGTCCCCAATCAGCATCTGAATAAACTGTAATATTAGGTTCTTCACTCGACAAAATTTGTAAGGATAGATTCTTTGTCGTTTTTAATTATCTAATGATTCTTTTAACAGCATTCCAGTCCCTTTGACATGGATTATTACACCTTCTGCTGAGTATGTGAGTTGAAGCTGTGATATCTGGTCTTGTGATAGATGATATATACAAAAGACTTCCAATAGCTTGGCGAAATTTATCATTTGAAGTTAGGATATTTTCTTCCTTGTTTAGGTTATAATAGTTTGTTTCCATTGGTGTGCTAGCGGATTTCGCTTCTTCAAGTTGAAATTGCTTGACAAGTTGATTTATTTTATTTTTCTGTGATAAGAGATAACTTCCATCTTCCTTGCGATTTATTTCCATGCCTAAGAAATATTTGGCTTCACCAAGATGCGTTATTTGGTAACGTTTCTTTAAATCATTAATTGTTTGAAGAATTAGTCCTTCTTCTGTAGAACTTATTAGGATGTTATCAACATACACTATTAAATTAATTCTTTTATTACGAACCACTTTTGAGAAAAGACACAGATCTGCTTTGCTTTGACTGAACGCAAGATTCTTCAATGTATTTTCAATTTCTGCATTCCAGCACTTAGTTGCTTGTTTGAGACCATAAATCGACTTCTGTAATTTACAAACTTTATGTCTTTCTTCCGGAACCACAAATCTTTCTGGTTGTTCCATATATATTTCTTCATTTAAGTTGCCGTACAAAAAAGCTGTTTTAACATCTAGTTGATGTACCTTGACATTATTATAAGCTGCCCATGCTAAGAAAACTCTTATCGTAGTGTGTTTCACTACTGGTGAAAACGTTTCATCATAATCACTGCCGTATTTTTGAGTAAATCCTTTGGCTACTAAGCGTGCTTTGTATTTTATATTTTTACCAGTTTCATCATATTTTGTCTTAAACACCCATTTGCTGCCTACTGCATGTTTTCCTGGTGGTAATTCTGTAAGTGTATAGGTTTCATTTTCTTTTAGAGAATGTATTTCTTCTTGCATAGCCTTGATCCAAGCTTCTTGTTCACGTTTTGGTAAGTTTAGAATTTCTTCAAAGCTTTCTGAATCTTTATTTTTAGGTAAGATTGATTCTTCGTCTTCTGCTTTATAAGAGAATCTTTCCGATGGAACCCCTTTGGTTGATCTGCTAGAAACCCTTTTTTCTACATTTTCTTGACATTTAATTAGCTCTTCAAAACTTTCTGAATCTTCTGTAAAATCATCGCCAAGAGATGTTTCTTCATTATTTTCTTCATCTTCTTGTGAGGTATTGAAGTGAATTAATTCTAAATCTTCAGCATTATTTTCTGCATGTTTGTCAGATAAAGACGCGTTTTCTGAAAATTTAACAGTTCTACTTGCTATTATTTTCCTTCCACCTACATAAATCCTGTATCCCTTACTTCGTAAATCA